TGGAAGTACCCGTTGCACAACCGAAAACACGCTTTCTAACTGCCTCGTTACGGATTCGCCGACACCAACCCACACGAGCTATGGTTCTGGGACAACGATTGTCGAACACCTGAAGACGTCTCAGGTCCGCTGCTCGAATAGGGCCAAGTCTCACAGCCAGACAACAAAACAGCCCGTACTGTAGCTTGATACACACGTCCCTTCAGATTCAGGGATAAGCCATTCTGACGCCATAGGTGTCTCAAGTTAGCAAACGCGGGTCCTAACCTCCATGCCATCAGAAGGAAGCACGAGGGCTAGGATGCTGCCAGGTTGACCAACCCTAGACAGGTTAAGTCGAGAGACAGAAAACCACGGACCTCCCGGTCAGTAAATTCGCGGTCTAACCACTGAGCCATCTCGCTCCCCCCAGGCACACCATAGTAATCAAAACAGCACAGAAAAGACTTGTGACCATGTCACTTTATTATTCGACGACCACGGCTCCGCACAATCTAACCGAACGTTGGTCGGTCCACATGTCCCGGCATAAGAAGTCAATATAGAGGCCAAACAGTGAGCAATAATCCCCAACTTGGTTCATCTAAGACGTCCGAAACGAATTCTGTTGAAAGATGGAAGGTTATATGTACACCTGACGACCGCGAAACTTGGCTTTTCCTATCTGAAAACTAAAAACACCTAACAGTAGTTGATCTATGGTGTCTTCACAGAACGGCACGAGTTGGCGAACTGCTGCATGTCCATTAGAAAATAGTGTAGAAGCTAGAGCTTGGCAACGAAGTAGAACTGCCAGAAGAGCAACTAAGACTGATCAGATTAAAAGGGATGGGATATGCATTGCGAAAATCAAGCCGCCTCTCTGTTTTCCGCTCCAAGTGATAGAGTACCCCATATTGGGGTAACGCAAAAAAGTGCCAACTGCTATTATGAGCACGGCGGGATCTTCGTATCTTTATGACTGTGATGTCTTATTCCCTTTGTCCATAATTCGAAACCCTTCAGGGTATGGCTGGCAACGGACCCAAGTGGCGAACACGCCATCACTCCCTGGATTGTATGTTGGTGCGGTGCTGAATGTGTGTCGAATAAGATTAGTAACTAGTATTAGGAGATTTTCGCTGATGGCTTCCGGTAGGGTGTTTATAGGCATTGCAGCTCCAAAGATTCCTGATAGTATCTCCTAAGGACACAATCTCCAACCTTCGTCGTTCTTTTAACCAAGTTGTGAGGCGGTATTTATCAGTAGTGTATGGCTGTCAATGAAGACAATTACAGAGAAGAGCCGTGTGACATCCCTGTTGGATAAAAACAGGAATCACTGTTTTTTTACCGTAGGTAGAATACAGTAATCCGCCCCAGCGATCACAATCGGCAAACGGAGCACTTAGCGGACCACAAGGGAGAGATTTGCTCGGGAGCACATTATTGTTGAACAGGCTTCACTTGAGTGACTTCATAGGCACTGATGGTTACTGTTAGTCGCTGACTTATAATGAGCTACCGATCACAACTAGATCCGCTGTGGTTGCAACCCAAGCATTCTTCTTTCTCTCCAACCTCATAGTGACAGTGCAGGTGGATAGCTTGAGGACAAGCAGCCAAATTCTGGGCAAATAAAGAGACGATCAAGTACAACAGTAACAACAACAAAAACACTAACAGTTGAGCTGGAAAAGACGTCTTTACCAGCAAAGATGCATATGGTAGAGAGAAACCGAAAATGCATGAATCCTACTTGGGATGATGAGTACTAAGCAATAACATGAGCACCGGTAAGAGGATCGAGATCGTAATCAAGGAATAAACCTTCAGTAAGTAGATGAATTAAGGGGGAAGCAGTCTGTCACTCTCGTACTGAGCCATGCACACATTTCAACGTAAAAAAAAGCAATCACATACAGGTAATAAATTGTTCAAATGCCACTTGGCAGACCTGGATCGTGCAGGCTGAGTTGGAAACGCATACACCCGGACAGAAAACAGGGTGGAGTGAAACGTATGACGAAAGCGGGATATGATGAGTCGATATATGTTATAGCACCCTCCGCACCAGCCAAGCCAAAAATAAAGTTTGAAAAGGATTGTGAAAGAAACTTAAGATATCACGTGCTAATTGCTTGTGGAGGACTAGCGGCGTGAAGCGGGTTGTCTGTGTTAGGGAGTGACTCCCTTGATGGAGGACCGGAAGATTTGATTAGAGCTGAGTCGGGTAGATTCTTGAACGACGTAGGCGGGCCTTCGGTGAAACCATTCGAGTGAAACGGAGCAGTAGGAGAAAACATTCTAGGTAGAGTACAAGTCTTGTCTTTCTGAGTAAGGTTATCAGGCGCTTGATATTTGTTACTTCCTGGAGGGGGGAAATCACGTGGAAGCGTAAAAGTTTTCCTGTATTTTGATTGGTGAATGTGCCAGAGAAGTTCATTGGATATCAAGAGTCCTTGGGTATCAGGAGGAGGCGGCGGTGGAGGAGGAAGTAGGTCTTCCAACTCTTCGGAAGATTTGCTTCCTGATTCGCAAACCGCACTTGAATGTGATGATATCCTTTGGCTGATCACAACATCATTCACATCTTCGACCGACGCGTCCGGTTTCGTTCCAGTGTTGCACGGCGCGAACGGCGTACGGATGATTTGCTGCGGAGCCGAACAGGCTGCAACACAAGAACGTTTCGGGCCATATGTTGTGGAAGCATGTTGTTCCTCCGACGGAACAGACCTTGCCGACCGTGTTGACAATTTGCGGAATAGATTATTTGTGCGTTTGGATAGAAGCATACGAAGTTGATCGGCCAATATGGGTGAAATCTTTTTGAAATTTGGACGAGTTTTGTGCTTGAATCCATCACCGGATGATGTGTTCAACAAGTCTGGTGAAAGACGAGTGGAACTCGATGGAGACAATTCTGTTTCGTTATCAGTACTGCTACTGCTAGTACTACCACTGCAAGCGGAGAGGTCATCCTGGTCGTCCTCCGGGAGATTCTCGTCCTTTTCAAGCGAATGTACCAAAGCCTCCAGAGAACTTGTTTTTTCGTCCATCTGAGGGATCTCAACATTGGTCAATTTGGCTAACCTCATAAGATACTGAGGGAACATTTCACAATCATTATGACCGGCACCTTCGATAAACAGGGGATCTAGTACAAGATGGTCCGCTAGAGCTGAACATATTCGCTGACCGTGGTTCACGTGGACCACATCATCACGTGTCCCATGGATGATGAGCGTCGGGGAGATAATTCGAGAAGCGCGGGTTAGACTGTGGTGAAAGCCCAGGGAGATAAAGAAGGAAAGAGAAGATAAAACGTTTTAGTTTTCAAACAAAGTTCGGTACACAGAGAAGTGTCAGCGTACGTAAGCGACGTAATGTATTATCGAAGTGTCTTGGGGTACTTCAGGCCTCAGTTTCCAGGTAGACAAAAAAGCAAAGTTTTGAAAGACAAGAGAAAGTAACGAAAAAGAATGTACGAGCGCTTTAATGCTGCCAGCCTACCCAACCAAGTCGAATATCCCGAAAAGAACATGCGAAACGACAACCAGGTTCAACTGACGGTTCCACCATTGTGTTGAACGACTATGCCATAGGGTGAACCGCGCCTTACTGACTACCCTTGAGAAATATCAAGAAGTAGATTCTTTCGATCCGTCAATCCCAGTAGGTGGACGATGTAGTGATGTGATTGGCTTGCCACTAAATGATTACATCAGAATCAACACTCATAAGGCGACAGACTTTATGGTATCTTGGCAGTCAGGTTTGGGCCACACAGCTGACGAACATCCTTGCGAAATCCTGTTGAAGTTAATTGAGAACGACTAATTTGATGAGTACCACTGCTACACTCATCGCGCGTTTGGTGTATCCGTATCTACTGTAAGGCGGCAGATGATCTGCTGATTCGTCTGATCCACGCATTCTGTGGGACAAACGCGAATAACTGCGCAAGTTACTGTAGAAGAGTCAGCGACCGGCAAATTGTCATCCACGCTTGCCTTGGGTAACTACTCGCCACCAGTGACAGGTATAAAAAATAAGCTTCATAAGGGGTAACTTCTGAAGGCCACCATCATGTACGAGCATCACTACAAACGATTAACCTCATAAGGGCAAACTACACTGAAACAGGGACAGAGCCCTTCGTTCTTCCCATGCATCATAACTCCACTCTTATGCGTCCTTATCCGTTCCAGTCACACCATTAGCTGCTGACACTTAGAAACAGTGTTACTACTCCTAAGACAAGTACCGTTTTGCTAACATCCGTTTGTTTGGTGCTGATTATGAAATATGTGGGCTGTATCGTTTAGTAGGTAATGTTCTGTTCACGAAAGCCATAGCAGACAAATACGGCACTGTTATGACACAAGCAAATTGATTTGAACTGAGGATAAAAAACAGAATTACGTTAGGGGCGCTACTGAACGCAGTTTTTTAATACAGTACTCTCTCTTTACAACTTGAACTATTTCCCAGTTGGGTTTTTGGGCTGAACCGTACAAAAATGAAACAAGGATACTACTGTTCAGCTGCTCGAGGCCAAACGCCCAGGTGTTCCATCAATAGCCGGAAAGCAGCGGGTTTGAAACTCACTGCGTTTCGTAAGATGCGCACTGTCGATGATTCTCAACAAGGATAAAACAACTGTACAGTGCTCTTTGGCGTTTCAGCATGGAGTGACCTGACCGCCAGGAAGAAATTTCAATTAAAGAAAGTTGAAACTCAGAATTCTGAGCATCACTGGACGATAAACTAATTCTGACAACGATACTATCCCATCAAATATATATATATATGAGCACAATATCCTAAGTTGTTGATCAAGGACACTTCAAAGGATTTTGAAGTTTTAATCAGACCAAAGTCGGGTACACGTCAAGTAATGCAAACTTTCGGGCACGTTTCACCTAGTGTTATATGGCTGATATAACTTGACCACTCCATTTTTTACTTTCCATAGGTTCCACAGAGTTTTATGGACCTTCGTCCGTCCGCTGATTCTCGTCCAAACTCAGCCAGGTCAGGGGCGAGATGGCTCAGTGGTTACAGCGCCTAATACTCACTGAGGTCAGGGGCGAGATGGCTCAGTGGTTACAGCGCGAATTAACTGACCGGAAGGTCCATGGTTCGAACCCGACCTCTATCTCTCGACTTCCCCAGTCTAGGCTTGGGCAACCTGACAGTATCCCAGCCCTCGTGCTTCCTTCGGGTGGCATGGCTGTTAGGCACCAAAAGGGTGCCACAGCGGAACGAACGACAGAAACATGAGGCTGCTTGATGTCTGTGTTTCAGACAGTGCATTAATAGCATTCAACTAACTTTTGTTGTGTTAAGATGCACGTATTCTCGGCCACCCAGAGGGCGATACACAATGCGTGGAACTATCATCAAAATCACCAAGCAGTCAATCGTGAGTCAATCATGGGTCAGATCTTGAAGTCGAAGTTACGCGAGCGAATGCGGACAACAAACTCCTGCTTGCAGTTCCGACTATAAAACTCACTCTACCAATCATCGCATCAAGTGCCAGAAAAAGAGGGAAACCAAATATGAGAATCGGAGCCCGGACAATGTGAAACAGGCATGATGGGACTCAAAACGTGTCTGATGTGTAGAGCGGCCGTAGGAGAGCACTACTGTTCCCTGGTGTTGCTGCCAATGATTATGTTAAGTATAAGGGGTCAGACGTGTGTCCTTCTTCACCAACTCTCGGGTTAAACTTGCGAATATTTTCAAATGGATCGAATTTTCAGGTTATAAAGTTCGAGGATTCTTTGAGGAAATCCTAACACATTGCGTTGCGGGTCAAACTACGAGTCAAAGGCTACGGACAGGATCCAGGAAGAAAACCCAGAAATTTGTCACTGCCTTGCAAGCGAGACCTGTGAGTGTGAATGACAGAAGGGGGGTCTGAAGGAAACCCACCGCTTCCGCCTAAGAGGCAAAAAGTCAGGTCGAATCCACCAGCCGACAGTTATCGTGCATCAGTTCCGATTCTTCCTCCGTTACAGATGTGCCCCCTATTTCTAGTTATGTGAACTCAGTACAACTTGTTAGTTCTCTGCCCAAAAAATGAAATCTAAACATTCGTTTCAGCTTTAAAGAATATCACCACTCCACGTTGAAAAGATCAACAGACATCTGTCGCCTGTACACTCAAACCAGTCACACAGGGATCACTCATCATAGTTTGCGAGATGGCTGAAGTGTTTAGATCGCGAATTTACTGACCACAAGGTCCGTGGTTCGAACCCGACCTCTGCCTCTCGACTTCCCCTGTCTAGGCTTGGGCAACCGGGCAGTAATCCAGCCCTCGTGCTTCCTTTGGGTAGCATGGCAGCTATGCACCGGAAGGTGTTACAGCTGAGATACACACAAACATATTTCATCATAGTTTGCCATGCGTATGACTTGTAACATCCGGGTGAATTCAAAACCACGCCCTGGTCCGTGCCCATATCTGTTAATAAAACGACATATGGACTGTGTTGAGTGCCTGCAAGATGCGAATGTCAGAGAACCTTAACAAAAGCTCGACAGACTACTTCCATATAGGACTCAAATCAATCAAGCACATGGACGTCAGAAAATACAGACTACAGTGTACGCAACGTTCGATCCAGAGCACTTGAAAACAGAGCCGAGACTCAAGTAAGGTTGGACAGCTTGACGAATTCACTATGGGGCATCAGCGAAGGGGGAAAGTCACAGAACATGAAACATTCTACGCTTTATCACATTAGAATGAAAAGGTGCAGCTTGAACAGGAATGATGAGTCGCTTGCGATGGTTAGAAAAGCGTCAGTTAAATAGAGGGGAGGGGTAGTCCCAAAATGTATTCACAGCGAGGAAGAAAAGAAAATGCGCACAACAGTACAAAACCTTGCCCTCCCCCGCCAAGCTGTGATTCACTTCTTTTCCCAGTCAGACCATAGCAGAAACGGTTGTGTACGGATGCACAAATTACGTTGTCAATAACATACCACAGGCAAATGGTGGAATATCGGCCGAGAGGTCTCAGATGCATAATGATTCAACAGTCACTCCTTCAATGTGACTTTCTTCTTCGTTTTAGTCCCTACGACTTACCATATCAGCGTATTTTCCACCTGTCACATACGGATATCTTATTGCAGAAGACCATGAAATTTCACGTAAAGACTTTTCTTTGAACAAAAGTCCCCTTCCGTATGAGGGACGCTCCTGAAGAATGCATAAAAGCATGACCCTAGGGACGCTGATCTCAAAAGAAGCACGAAATTCCTTGAGAACTAAACATTCACTCACCCTTATGTTGTCTATGTTTGTCTGTGATTACCACCGCAAGCAAAGAACAATTAAGTTCTATACAAAGACCACTCTAATTCACACGGGTTCCACTCCAGTACTGATGTGTTGAATAAGACAGTGTTTAGTAGCTAATATTTAAAGTATCCACGATACTGTCGATAGGCGTCAACGTAAAATGCCAATCGGAAACAGACCAAGTCATGTGGCAGCAGACTTGATTCACACGCTTTCCTTTCGGGCAACGGATTTTGTTCCTCGACGACAGATCTATATATCTATGTATGGTTGTCCCATCTATGATTGTCTCATGCATGTATTTATTTTTCCCTATGAATGTCCAGATGGCTCGTTTTAACGGAGCGAATATCTCATCCATTCCACACAAATAAAACCTTGCGGTATCTCAACAGCGTGTGCGTCCAACTCATATTCCTGCTATATATACATTTTCCTACCGTAATCTCATTTCGGCTTTTGATTTCTACAACACGGACAATACCGATTTACAGAGAAAAACACGTATAGCACTGGTGTAGAAGGTCCTCATCTACAGTTAAATTAAGGACCTACTGCATAGACCGAAAGAAAATACTGAGAGACATTCGTTTGAGAAACTGTCCAGTGTGCATGAATATGAGCTTTCATTAGCACAATTTATCATTACAACGTAGGTGGAGACCTCACAGAAAACGATAGCTGTAAAATGGCGATACACAAAGAACCTAAGGCCACTTGTCACAAAACAGGTTCCAGTTCACCAGCAGTTCTTCCAAGCAAAAGTCATCGCAGCTGTCTGTCCTCTCGCGACCGTCTCATCATACATATATCCATCAGTGAAGAATAGTGACGTGATTCCCCCCAACTACCATTACAAAAGCTAGACGAACTACAACAAAATAACTAATCGTTCAGCACCCTTTCGGTACACGGCTGCTGCAAAACTCGAAGGCCATACTAGGAGGAATAATCGC